TGGGTTTGATGGCGTTCTTAACTTAGCTCAGAATCTTCAGATTGTCCACGAATATACTGGATTACTTAAATAAACTTGGTGTTTATGTACTCGAAATGCCTTTTGCCTAGTTCTTGAGGGGGGTTGTATCATGGGCTGTTAGGGGTTACTTTTTTCCAAATTACTGTACATGTTGACCTATCTTTTGTCTCCAACTGTAAGTTTCAGTAATGTTGAAAGTGCTTCAGGTTGTCTACATATGCTATTACCATTCACTACTGACATTTGAGATCATCTCCTTTAAGAAGACTTTTATCAATTCCCCGGAGAGGCTTCACTCCTGGGTGTTTCTGTCATACCCTGTGTGTATCACCAAACATGTGTTGTTTCTCTCCCTCGGAGTGGGTAGAGCCTTTGGAGCAGAGTATGCATATTTATATCCCAGCAGCTAGCACGGTGGCTGGCACATAATAGGTCCTCAATAAATGTTTCGTTGAATCAAATGCCTCCTGCTTGCTTATGGTGAATCAAGTCTGCACTCTTCTGGCTGACTATATGTACATCCTCCCTAAGGTAGGCCAGCCTACTGATTAAATCTTGCTTCTTTTTACTTATTAGCACAAGTCTGGTACATGTCCATTTCCTCTTTTGTTCTTCAATAGGTCTTTTGTTTTCCCCTCTTTTGTAATATAGCTTAGCGATTGGGCTCTGGAAATTAGATTCAATGGAGTTGGGTCCAAATCCCAGTATAAGGGAAGACTGTTAGACCAGTTACTTTAACGTCTCTGAACCACAATTTCTGTAAAACAAAGACATATATAACAACAAGTATTCTTAGGGTACTTGTGAGGATTAATTGAGAAAATCCATGTAAACTATGTAGACTAGTCTCCTGGCGGGAAGTGAGTACTCAGAGAAGGCTAGGTATTATTATTCAACTTTATCCATTTAACATTGAGTCCCTACCTAACATGCTATAAATAAAGACATATAAAAGCACTCTCCTTGGCTTCAAGCATTTCTCAGTCTAGTGAGAGATAGCTGTGAATAAAGAAAATCATAGTCCAATACTAACATAGGGAGCAGAATAAAGTGTTGTAACTAACAGTTAAGAGGAGGGTGTCTCACCTGCAGGTAAAAGATAGGAAATTCTTCCTGGAGGAAGTGTTCCTTGAGTCAAATCCTAGGTAACTACCCTGTTCCCCCGAAAATAAGACAGTGTCTTATATTAACTTTTGCTCCCAAAGATGCGCTAGGCCTTATTTTCAGAGGATGTCTTATTTTTCCATGAAGAAGAATACGGCACACATTTATTGTTAAATGAAAATAAAGGAAATTTATTACCTGTATACCGTACGGTATACCACATTTCTCAGAGTTGGCTATAGAAGAATTTAAATTTTTCATTTAATGCGAGCATCATTATATTGGAGTTTTTCCTTTCATGGCTTAATGAAAACTTGACACTACCAGGTAAATTCAAATATCAAAAATACTTTGTAAAGATAGTTTGAACACTTATGGATTAAGTAATTATTCCATAATTTTTTGGCAAATTACACTATACACAATTTGATCTCATCTGGTGTTATTGCTGGCATTACAAATACAAATGACAGTAGAATGTTACTCAAGGTAAAACAGCAATAGATCCACTAAAGCCAACCAAAGAATGCCTCAAGTGCCAGCTAAGCACCTCAATTCAGATGGGCAGGAAAAGGACTACTTTAACATTTCTTTCATGAATCATACAATTATCCAAGATAACAAATCTGTGTTAAGATCCTTACGGAACAAAAGAACATCTATCATCTCTATCAGTGAAGTCACATCAGGAAATATTTGAAAGGTCATCTCATTTCCATGGTCATGAGTAGATTAAAATGCCTTCTACATTCTGGACTCTAGTTTTTCCCCATCCAAACTCACTCTAAATACTGTTGCCCAGTTTATCTTAGCTGTGTGACCTTGGGCAAGTCACTTAACTTCTCAGGGTATGTTTCCTCAACTGCTAAAAGAGGAGGTTGTGCCAGATGAATGCTTTTTATATTGTTACTTAGAGCCCTTGAGTCCCTCAGACACCCAGCCTTGGTGTTGTGGGTGCCACTAAGCAGGTTAGGGAAAAGATGGGCTGAGTTGGCATGGCAGGGGTATCCATCTCTAGCACAGCAGCCCTTTTGAAATCATGGCCTGTCTAAAACTTGGTTTGGAAAAAGAGTTCTGCTACAACAAAAAGTTTAAGTACAATTATGCTTACACTAGAGGCCTGATGCACGAAATTCGTGCAAGAGTAGCCCTTCCTTCTCCCTGCTCTGGGCACTGGCTTCCCTCCAGCACCCAGGACCCGGGCTTCCCTCCGGCTGTTGGCAGGCACCTGGGACCCAGACTTTTCCTTTGCAGGCCCGGCTTCCTCCAGAAGGATGTCCAGTCTAATTAGCATATTATGCTTCATTATTATAGATGATTTCTAATGGTCCTTTCAGTTCTCCTAAATGAAGATTTTATAAAAACCTCCTATATATCCTTAGCTTTTTTGGCTCAGTGGATAGAGCATCAGCCTGTCCTGGGTTCGATTCTAGTCAAGAGCACATGCCTGGGTTGTGGGCTGGATCCCCAGTTTGGGGTGTGCAGGAGGCAGCCAATCATTGGTTCTCTTTCATCATTGATGTTTCTCTCTCTCTCCTTTTCATTTCTTCTCTGAAATTAATAAAAATATATTTAAAATTAAAAAAAATTTTCTATACACAATAGGGATTTAATGTGATAAAGTGTTTACATACAGAAACACAATAAACAACTAATTTATATTATTTTTTTACCTATTAATCTTGGTATCTCAAAATAAGATGCAATGCTTATAATGACAATTTAATATGTACTCTGAAAGTAATTGGCAACTTCCATAAAGACTGTCATTTTGGAAACCATAGGAAAAAAATGGCTCACAAAGTTCAGGACCAAATTCAAATCCTGCCTTTTTTTTTTTTTTTTCTCTTAGACAACAGTAAAGCTATACCTTAATCCAAACAAATGCACATGAACAAATTTTCTTTAGTCTCACAATTACAGAGCTTCCAAGTCTCCTCTACAAGTACTACCTTATTATGATACTTTGTATTCCTGCCCAAGGCTGACCCTAAAAGTTAAATATATTAGAGTCATTAGAGGTGCCAGACAAATAAAACACTAGATAATTTGCCAGTCTCCCTTCTTCTCAGCTAAAGTGAGGGGTCTCAAGGGAAGGTTTATTAGAATCATCTGGGGAGCTTTTCCAACCTTAGGTCCCATTCTCCTCTCCCTCTTGCAAAGCATTGTTTTAGCCAAGGACTCCTTTCTGCCTTACATAAAAGGCCCTGTCCATCTTTTATTTATTATTGATTTCAGAGAGGAAGGGAGAGAGAAACATCAATGATGATAGAATGAATCATCAATCTGCTTCTTCCTGCACGTCCCCCACTGGGGATCAAGCGTGCAACCTAGGCCAGAATTGAATCTGGGACCCTTCAGTCTGAAAGCTGACGCTCTATCCACTGAGCCAAACCGGCTAGGGCTGTTCATCTTTTTAAATCCAGCTCAATTTAAGATTGATGGAGTAAAAACAATTGAATTTGGAAGACACTGGCTTTGTCACAAGTAGCTGGGCAAGTCACTTAACCTTTCTGGTATCATTTTTCCTCTGATTTTTGAGGGCCCCTTCCAACTTTGAAATTCTATGATAGCATATCATGTCTAAGAAGCTTTCTGAATTCTTAGCATACAATGACTTGTCATTTCTTAGTATTCTAACAGCCTGTGCAATGTTACATATCACCTAGTTATATACTGTCCTATATTGCCCTCTAGTTGTTTTTACATGAAAATTTTTTCTTTTCAACTATATTTAGTTTAAAACCTTATTTTCCAGATAAGAAAATAAGCTTATTTGTAAGCTTATTTTCTACTTATCTTAAATCTACTAGGACAACTCGGGTGTATCCTAAGGTAACCAGTATATATTTATAATGATTTGTTCAAAGCAATGACACCCCCAAATTATTTTTTTACATCAGCACTGTCCAGTAGAAATATAATGTAAGCCACAAATGTGAGCCCAACATGTAAATTTAAGTTTTCTAGTAGACACATGAAAAGACAAGTGAAATTCATTTTAATACATTTAACCCAATTTATATAAAATAACAGCATTTCAACAACGTAGCCAGTGTAAAAATTACTGATATATTCTTGTTTAGTAATAACTTTTCAAACTCCGGTGTCTGTGTCACAGTTACAACACATCTCAAAAACAGACTTTAAAGTACTCAATAATCCCTTGTGGCTAGTCGCTATGTATTGACACTGAGCACTTACTTCCTAAGTACCCACTGGGCTAGCCAGAGAGTAGCAAAAATGAATGACTCGTTTTAGTGATGGATATACACCGATCTGTAGATGCACAGAACTGTGCTTGGCTGGGGCGGGGGTTGGGGGGTATCCAGGAAGGTTTCACAGAGGAAAACTTTTGAAACGCAGTGTGTGGGAGGAAGGGTGACCTGAGGCGGAAGTGGGCAGACAGAGGATTGCGTGGGAGGATCCTGGAGCTCCAGCTGTGCGCGGCCCGAGCGCGGGCAGCCCCGCCCCTCGCCCGGCGGGTCAGGCGCGCGGCAGCCCAGCTCCGGCTCCGGGCAGCGCGCCGCTCGCGCTCAGAACTCAGCCTCGCGAGAGCCGCGTCTCTGCGCCCACGGGGCTTCCCAGCTCAGCCTCCGCGACGAGGAGCCAGTCGTAAACAGGGCTGAGCGTTTTGCTCGAGCGCTTGTTTCTCTCCGAGGCCTCCTACAAAGAACGACAGCCTGGTCCAATGAGCCCGTGGCAACAGTTGCCAGGGCAGCCGACAGCTGGTTCCGAAGGTTCTCGGGCGCTGGGGCAACAGTGGGACCGCTGGCCCGAAGGAGCGCCCCTTCCGGTTTCGTAGGCTCCCCCGGAGCCCCGCAGCTGTGTCTAACCCCGGAAATGAGGTCTTCCGGGTTTCGCCCTCCCTCAAGATGGCTGCGGCCGAAGAAGACGAGTTACCGCTGCCACGGCTACCCGAGCTGTTTGATATCAGCCGACAGCTTCTGGACGAAGTGGAAGTAACGACTGAGCCCACCGGCTCCCGGGAAGTCCAAGAGAAGGTCTCGAAAGGACTGCAGCACCTTAAGCAGGCCGCCGAAATGTTAGCGCAGCTCGACTTGTTCAGGTATGGGGAGAGGGTAATAGCTGACAACGTAGGTAATAATGGTTACCAGCGGTGGAGCCACTGGGCCTGGGTGGAAGAGACTGAGACTAAGGGCCTTTCGTACCTACCTCCCTACATTGTTTCTCCTCTACATTGTTTACAGTCGCCACCTCTTTTCCCAAGTAGTCAGTGTCTCACGATTTTGTTACATAGTATATGCTGTTGGCGGGTGTGAGCACTCAGCCACTTGGAAGAAACCAGGCCACTGTTCCCCTGCCTCCTCCCTTTGCCTCATTCCCACCCCAACCTTTCCCATCCTCAGGAAGCAAGGGCCATAGTTTTAATGCCCAACCAGGCTTCACAGCCTCCTCTTTGCTTTTTCCAGCCGAAATGAAGATTTGGAAGAGATTGCTTCCACCGACCTGAAGTACCTGATGGTGCCAGCACTTCAAGGAGCCCTCGCCATGAAACAAGGCAACTCCAGGAAGCGCTTAGATCATTTGCAATGGGCTCGAGAACACTTTTTAAACTACTTATCTCAGTGCCAGCACTATCACGTGGCAGAGTTTGAGTTGCCCAAAACCAAAAACAACTCAGCTGAAAATAACACAGCTAGTTCCTCCATGGCCCAACCTAGCCTCGTTGCTATGGCATCTCAAAGACAGGCTAAAATAGAGAGGTGGGTCAGTAATTATAATTTGAAAACAGCCCAATGGCAAGTGCTGTTGCAGAGGGTGCATGTTTTTTTGTTTGTTTGTTTTTGGGGGGGAGCGGGTGGACAATGATATATGTCACTCTTTTCATTTTCATTGAGCATAGGCCCTGGTGATAGCAAACTCTACTGAGTTTTTCAAGAACCCTCTACCTTTGTTGAGATGATCATTCCTAACCATTAGACTCCTTATGGTTGCCAACAGCAGCAATGTAGTTTAGCAGATTGTCTCCCAGTCTCTCCCAGGTCACAACATGGTAATATTTGTATAGGACTGTGGGGCAAATATCTCTGAAGGGCACAATATCTTGTACTTGTAGTCCATTTACAATCCTTTGATTGAGAATTTGTTCTAACAGTACTGGATCCGGTATGTAATATCCTGAACTAATCTTATCCCTGGCATAGCTTCATCGTGTAGCCTTGAACAAGTTGCTTGCTCTCAGTTTAGTTTTTTTTTTTTTTTTAACGTATTTAAAGAATGCTCACAGTGTCTAGGAACTATGCATACAGTCTGGTGAGGAAAAAAGGCATAGAAACAGTATCAACATAAAATGATGTGATAGAAAGATGTACAAGGTACCGTGAGAGCAGACTGGAGAGGCACCTAACCAAAGAGAAAGCAAAAAGAGGAGAAGGCTCCCTGGAACAGGTTACTCTTATGATGAGTTGTTTAAGGATGAATAGGAATATTATCTAGAAGATGAAAGGAGGGCATTAGGCAGCACAGATAGCATTACTAAGATATAGGGGCATTAAAGAGCTGAGCCAGGTTGGAGGTGTGTGGTGGGGAATAACTAATCAATTAGGTGGTGTTAGAATGCAAAGAGGGTTGTGGATAGGGGGAAGGAATGATGCTCAAGAATGGAGCATTCAGGCTTAGGGGAGCTTGGGGTGTGAGGAAGTTGAAAGTACAACCTCAATCAATGATTAATGGAACAATAATGAGGGAATTTGTGATCTTCACCCTGGTGCCATTTGTCATACCCTGAGGGGTCCAGACAAAAGGAAGTTACAAGTTACCCTGACATTCTACAGTTATATTATCTTAGATGCAGAAAGACAAGAGATTTAGTAAAGAGTTGATCTTTGTCAGAGAAGATACTGGCCTAGGACATGACTACCCACTATAAACAGCTTTTTAATTAAGAAGTTTTAATTTCAGATCATCCTTTGTGGTTACTTTAGGTCTCTTAGTTTGCAAGACTGTCATGCAGGCCTTCCCTGAATTAGTCAGATTAGTGAGTGGCCCCTTTTCATTCACACAGCTTTGTGAGAAAGAACAGGGAGGGCTCAGATCTGGTTGGAGTGATTGGGAAGGTTTCAGAAGGTAACAGCATTTGCCACAAGCCTTGAAGGATGGTTAAAAATAGAGGTTACAGGTTTTCCTGAATGTAAAGATAATACCCATAGTAGAAAGTTGGAAAAATAGAGAATATTTTTTAAATTAAAGTAATCCTTAATCATAACACTCAGAGATGAATTTTGTTAATTTTCTGAATGTTTCCTTTTAGATATGATGTAGTTATTTTAGTTAATAAATTTGGAATAATAACTGTATATATAGTTTTTCATCTTTTTTAACCTAACATTATGTTGTGATCATTTCCCTGTGTCTTTTGAAACCATGATATTTAATGGCTACATAACATTTCAGCCCATAGACATACCATAAGTATTTAAACTAATCTCTTATTGTCAAATACTTAGACTGTTTATGGTTTGGGCTTTTATTTTTGATATTCTAAATAATGTTAAGAACAAACACCTGTTTTTATTATTTTATATGTTTTTATTAATTTTAGAGAAAGAGAAAGGGAGGAGGGGGGAGAAGCATTGATGAGAAACATTAATAAGCTGCCTCTTGCATGCCTCCTACTGGGGATTAAGCCCAGAATCAAATCAGCAACCTCTTGGTGCATGGGTCATCACTCAAGCACTGAGCCATACCGGCCACGCCAAACATATATTTTTTAAAACTTTTAAATTTTTCCATCACCATTTATCTCCTCTGTGCCCTCTTCCACCTCCAGCCCCCACTCTCTACCTCTTAACCTCACATCCCCCTCTCCTGCCATCACCATACTTGTCCATGTCCGTGAGTTCTCTTTTTTTTTCTTTTTTGCTCAAACATCTTTAACTACATCTGTCACACAAATATTTATTGTTTCCTTAGGATAGATTTCTAGAAGAACTAGTGACTAGATCAAAGGTTTTAAATATTTTAAGACTCTTTTTTAAAAGTATTTTTAATTGATTTCAGAGAGGAAGGGAGAGGGAGATGGAGATGGATACATCAATGATGAGAGAGTATTATTAATCAAATGCCTCCTATATGCCCCACACTGGGGATCAAGCTCGCAGCTTGGGCATATGCCCTGACCAGGAATTAAACAGTGACCTCCCGGTTCATAGGTCAGTGCTCGACCACTGAACCATGCCTGGATATTTTAAGACTCTTGAAGATAACAGTGTGTTGCTTTCCACAATAACAAATTGCAGAATGTGTCCCACTGCACTGATATTGGAAGTTAGCACTTGGAAAATCCAACTGGGCAAATAAAAGTATTTCATTGTTTTGATTTGCATTTCTTTAGCTAGAAAGCTTGATCTTTGAACATTTTTTTTACATGCCTAACAGATGAGATATCAACATGTTCTACTTTCTGACTCATACTTCCAACACCCTACATCAGTGATTTTCAACCTTTTTCATCTTGTGGCATACATAAAATAATTATTAAAATTCTGCGTATGTAAATAAACAATCAAAAAATATACTTTTTTCGGATCTGACAAAAAAAAATAAGTCTAATTTTGATTCGTTCACACCAGGTGGCTATTGTTGTATTGGCTATTGTCTAATTTTTTTATTTGACAATCTAAGGGAAAAGATGTCAGTACTCCTGACTAAATAGTCAGGTATTTCATGTTTTAAAAATTATTGAAGCACATCAATTGAAAATCTCTGTCCTACATGGATGTTTCATAGACATCTCAAACTTAACATGCTCTTAATTAAACCCTTGGCTGCTTAACCTGCAAATATCCCCCCACACCCAAGACTTAACCATCTTAATAGTTTTAACACCATTCATCAGGTGTTTAAGCCAGAAACCTAGAAGTTAGCTTCAGTTCGTCCCTTCTAAATATCCACATCCAGTCAGTCTTCAAGGCCTGCCAATTCTACCTATCATGTCCTGCTTCTCTCCATCTCCATTATCTCATACCTTAGTCTAGACCACCAGTATCTCTCACCTGAAATAACCAAGCCACTAACAACTACAAGGCCCTGCATGATCTGGTGCCTGCCTCTCTCCAATCTCATTGTGTATCACACTCCTTTTGCTCAGTAGCCTTTCATTCTTTGAACTGTCCCAGCTCCTTCTAAAGAGCCTTTGTTCATGTTGTCTTTGCATGGAATGCTCTTCATTGATTTGTCTTTCTACCCTGTTAGAATGTATGCTCCAGGAGATCAGGGGCCATTTCTCTTTTGTTCACTGTGGTATGTTGACTACGGAGTCTGCCATAGAAGGTGCTCAAGAAATATTTGTTAACAAGTAGGAGGAACAACATGAGCAAAAGCCTAAGGCAATTTGAAGTATGTACAGGGAATGGAGAGTAGTCTGATTTGGCAGAAGCTCAGAGGTCTTCATACTAAAGTGATGTATATAGAATATGGAAATGGAAGAGAGAGGCAGAAAGAAAAGTTAACATGCTGTAGTAGTACTTAAACTTGGAAGAGGTAATAAAAATGAAGTTACAGCTATCAGAGACATTACTTTTGCAAGAAGCATTTCCATGAATAGAAAAATTGTTCAGATCCTTAGTTACTTTTTGTAGGTCCTCCCTCTCACCCCACAACTTTACATACTGAGGCCATGCTACATAAAACACTCTCTCTCTCAAAACCTTTTTCATCACGTATTCTCTTTATTCTAATGTTCCTCAGCCCAGCCTGCATCGTCTCCAATCTTGGATCCCTCTCACAACCCAGGACTGCTGGCTCCCAACTGCTCGCTTGCCTGCTTTCCTGATTGCCCCTGCTTCTACCTGCCATCCTGATCACTCCCTAACCACTCCCCTGCCAGCCTGTTTGCCTCTGTAGGCCTGGTCACCCTTAAGTGCCCTCCCCTGCAGGCCTGTTCCCCCCAAATCAGACCCTGCAGGCTTGGGTCCCTCCCAACTGCCCTTCCCTGCAAATCAGCTGGTCCCAACCCATGTACCAGGCCTCTATCCAGCTGGTCGTCCCCAACTTCCTTACACTGCCAGCCTGGTCACCCCTAATTACCCTCCCCTGCAGGCTTGATCACCTCCAACTGCCCTCCCTTGCAGTCCCGGTCCCTCCCCTGCTGGCTATCTTATGGTGGCCATTTTGTGTCCATAGGAGAGCAGCCATCTTTGACCACATGGGAGCAGCCATCTTGTATGTTGGAGTGATGTTCAATTTGCATATTACTCTTATGAGATAGGATAGAGGCTTGGTACATGGGTGGGGGCCAGCTGATTTGCCCTGAAGGGTGTCCCAGATCAGGGTGGGGGTTCCCTTGAGGAGTGGGGTGGCCTGGGTGAGGGGCCTCTGGTGGTTTGCAGGCCAGTCATGACCCCTGGCAACACAAGTGGAGGCCCTGGTATCTGGGATTTATTTATCTTCTATAATGGAAACTTTGTAACCTTGAGCAGAGGGCAGAGCAGGCCAGGGCAAGTGAGAAGCTTGCCTTCCTCCATTGCCAGAGGCAACTCAAGCCACCTGCTCTCGCCAACTCCATGGCTGCTGCCATTTTTGTTGGGATTGATGTATCTTCTATAATTGAAACTTTGTAGCCTTGAGTGGAGTCCAGGGCTGGCCAGGGTGTGCAGAAAGCTTGGCTTCCCTCCATTGCCAGAGAAGCCCAAGCCTCCTATTCACTCCATAACTACAGCCATCTTAGTTAGGTTAATTTGCATACTTACTCCTGATTGGCTGGTGGGTGTGGCTGGTGGGCGTAGCAGAGGTATGGTCAATTTGCACATTACTCTTTTATTAGATAGGATATTATTCTCTAGACTTGAAATTCCTAAATGTCAGAGTCTGACTACTTGTATCTTTTATATCCCAATTGTATCACTGTATTCTTGGTGCCCAGTAACTGGATTATAGTAAGTACTGGAGTTGTCTTTGGGAGAGACAGAGTGGTCTTTACAAAGATGGAAGCAATGTGGTATAGCAGAAAAAGCCTGGGCTGTTTAGTCCGACAAACCTGGAGTGACCAAATTCTACCACTAATTGGTTGAGCATCATCTAGCCCTTCCTAGACTCAAATTTTTTTATTAGCTAACAATATTCATATTACATTGCTGTTTACAAAGCACCTTCATGTGTGTTGTTCCATTTGATCCTCTTAACGACTCCACAAAGCAAATATCCCCATGTTAGAGATAAGGAATTTGGCTCTGAGAATTGACATGTCCAGGTTACATAGCTAGTAAGTGTAGGCGAGGATTTAACTTCAACTTCCCAGTTCTGGTGCCATTTCCACTATAGCATAGAACAAAGAGATAGAATATGTTTGGGGGAAGGTGTGTCTAGGAAAGGGAAAAGGCACCAGTAGAGTGAAAAATTGTAACTGCTAATGACGGAGGGTAATTGATAGAGTAAGGCCTGGAAGAATGTGGGTGGGGGTAGGGTTTGTAGCAAGAGTGAAATGGTCAAGAGATGGCCTTGACTCCTAAAGATAGCATTAGCCACTTATGGGTGAGAGGAAAGGTGAAGCTAGAGAGATTTTTTAAAACTATGTTTATATTGATTTCAGAGAGGAAGGGAAAGGGGGAGAGAGAGATAGAAGCATCAATGATGAGAGCAAATCTTTGATCAGCTGCCTCCTGCACAGCCCCCACTGGGGATCGAGCCTGCAACCTGGGCATGTGCCCTGACCTGGAATCAAACCATGATATCCTGGTTCATGGGCTGATGCTCAACTACTGAGCCACACCGGGTGGGCAAGAGATTTTAAGGTAAAAAGGGAAGTTGGATTGCAGGCCATCTGGTGTGATGGTGGCACAGGATCCACAAAAGATGAACAAAAGGATAGCCGACAAATTTATAATTCATTAGCTCTCTTCAGCAGCTTGGGAACTGGAAAAGGGAACAGTGCAAGTTGTCCAGAGTCAAAAGGGTGATAGGCATTGGGGTTCCTAGGGTGATAAGGGGGTGTATTCATGTAATGGCTTACCATTACAAGAAAAGTGCATGTCTATAGAATTCTATGTAAAATTTTAGAATCTTCTGCTGACCACTGGTGATCAGTGAGGTCCAAAAAGTTGGCAAATGCTAGTCTAGAGTCCACACACACAGCCAGAGTGGTCCATATAAAAGTTTTCATGTCACTCTATTCCTGTCCTGTATTCTATCCAAAAGCCTTCAGTGGCTTTTCCATCTCATTTGAAATATCATGGCATTTGATATGCTGGGTCTTATTCCCTACAGGGTTCTGCAAATTATGGCCCTGGCTATATATCTGACCCTATTTCCTGTCATTGTTCACTTGACACTGGCCTCCTTGCTATTTCTCAAACATGTTTGGCCAGTTACTCTTCTAGCCAGGACCTTTTGATTTGCTTTTCCCCTTTAGAACAAATACTCAGAGGGAACCAAAGTTTTGCCACCATGAAGCTGCCTTTTTGAGATATTGATTTTAAGCTGTTTATTAAGAAACAAGACTTAGAACCTTTGACCCTCCCTTTCCTGCCCAAGAGATTCAGACAGAGATCTTAGGATGCAGCTTTAGCCCTATTTAAATTAAGTGTGGTAAATCAGAGGGCTTCCGGCAGGCTCTTGTTAGCTAGATAACCCGTGTCCCATTGTTTCTGAGTCACCTAGCAAGAACTTACTTGCCATGCCATGCATGTTCCACTCTTCCTGAACTATCAGTAAATCGCCCATTCTCACTTCTGAAATCTAATACCCCAACCCCACTCCTTTCTCCTTTGTCCAAAATTGTCTTATATACCCAATGTTGCCTCACTGTCTTTTGAAATTTACACTTATGTGAGTTCCCCACGTGCATGTATTAAAACTTGATTTTCTCCTGTAAAAAAAATACCACCACCCTTCCAGATATTGACATGGCTTGCTTACCAATTTCTTTGAAATCTTTGCTCAAATGTCATTTCTTCAGAGAGGTCTCTCCTGATCATCTTGTATATAATAGCACCCCTACCTTCACACCATCGGTCTATCCATTATACTTTGCTTCTTCATAGCACTTACCACCACCTGACTCCTCATCTATTCTTTTTTGTCTTCTCCCACTAGAACGAAAGCTTCAGGAGAGTAAGGACTTGTATACACAGCTGTATCTCCAGTACTGAGAACATTGCCTGTCATACAATAGGTTCTCAGTAAATATTTTTTAAATGAATGATAAATGAGAGTGCATCCTGAGAAAGGTGGGCAAGGTGATTATAAGACTTTAAATTTTATTAAGATGCATCAGAAGAGCTGGGAATGTTTTGCTCAGCAGAAAAGAAAAGATCATTTCTTTAGACTGTTTCACAGGAATTCCTACATCAGTGGCAGGTAAATGACCCCTAAGATTCTATGATTCTTTGAAGTTGTAATTCCCAAGTGGATATTATGTAGTACTAAACACCCAACTTTAGGTTGATATAAAATGATTAAGGCACTCTATCTCTAAAGAGGATGGGAAGAGTTGCTCAAATCAAGTTATATCTGTACTTCTCTGGCGTCAGATGTATTTCTCGGCTGTTGCTGATCCCTTCCTTGCCTTGTAGTTTTGAGAGAACTGTTGGCAAGTTCTGAAGTATAGAATCTATACTGTTGCCAAAGTGGAAATTGGCGTGCTGACTTCCTGGTCACTTGCAAAGGTAAAATCTTAGTGTGGCCTTCTTTTGAAGGAAAACCTCTTTATTTTTAAATTCACCGGTAATGCTTTCCTGTGGAACAGATACAAGCAGAAGAAGGAGATGGAGCATAGGTTGTCTGAAATGAAGTCTGCTGTGGAAAGTGGTGAAGCAGATGATGAGCATGTTCGTGAGTATTACCTCCTTCACCTTCGAAGGTGGATTGGTATCTGCTTAGAAGAGATTGAGAGCATTGACCAGGAGATAAATATCCTGAGAGGAAAAGACTCTTCAAAAGAGGTAAGTCTGTTCACTGCTATATAATTTTAAAAAACTGCTATCAGAGATTTGAATGTTCTATAGGACAATAATCAAATTTAAATGCTTTTGAGTCTTCATAAAATAATTGTTATTAAGTTCAGTGGAAGAAGGCTGAAGGTTCACTAGGGTAGCTTTCTCTCTGGTTTACAGTTTCGTTCCCCAGTGCCTACTAACCTGTAACACACTTTTAGTCATTTATAATTTTGTGACATGCCTCAGGGGAGGGAGATTTCCCTGAAGTAAAAATTGGTTTTGGCTATGGAAAAGTCATATCTGCTGAAGGAGGCATAGGGAGATCGGCTTTTAAAATCTGCTTGAATATAATAAACAAAGGGAAAGAGGAATTGGATGGAAATAGAGAAGAAAAATGGAATAGGAGAGAGAAAAAAGAGTAGAAAGGAGATGAATCCCAGTTTAACCATACATAGTGATGCACACTCACCCCTTTTGATCCTCTAGTATGAGACACAGTAAAATGTTGAGCATACTGATGAAGAACACCTGGTGTCTTACAGCTTTGGCTGTCTTTGAACATCATGATCCTGTTTGGAGCTGCTGCTTCAAAAGATTAGGCTCTGCTGCACTTACTTTTCGATTCTGATATAAGAGAAATTGAGTTGAATTTATCAGCTGGCCACAGGCATTTACTTAAGTCCTCAGAGAAACCTTTTCCTAATTTGATTTGTAGTAATTAGCCCAGGAGCTTTTGCCTCAGGTAATACCAACCTAGTCCCTCATGTTAAAGGATTAAAGAATGAACAATTATGAGGCCCCTTGAGCATAGCTAGAGTGGTTTTAAACAGTATGAGACTGGACTCTTCTCGGTCCTCCCCTGCCCCTTACTTTGCTGCTGTTTTTTTCTTTTTCTTTTTAAAAATATATTTTATTGATTTTTTTTTATAGAAAGGAAGGGATAGGGTGTTAGAAACATCGATGAGAGAGAAACATCGATCAGCTGCCTCCTGCACACCTCCTACTGAGGATGTGCCCACAACCAAGGTACATGCCCTTGACCAAAATTGAACCTGGGACCCTTCAGTCTGCAGGCCGATGCTATCCACTGAGCCAAACCAGTTAGGACTTTTTTTTTCTTTTTGCATGCTCTCTCGTTTAGTATTGAGATTGGCTCTGGGAGTGATGGAGCTTGAACCAAGTGAATGCCTTTTCATTGACCAGGTTTTGTTTCTTTGTGCACCTGGATAGCCAGGGTTCCTTGAAGCATTTCTATATAGCTATACATGAAAACTGCCAACCCATTCTCCCCCTTGCATTTAGGAACAGCCACTTCTAAAGTACCCTAAGGGGTTCTTAACAGTTAATAGCATAATTACTGGGTCATAATTGAACTTTAGCACTAGAGGCCAGGCTAAGGAAATTTATCTCAAGGGATTAAAATGGATCATTCAAAAAGCCTTTGCCATCTCTTTCGGAGGGGGGAAATTTTATTTTTTATTTTTTTAAAATATATTTTATTGATTTTTTACAGAGAGGGAGAGAGAGAGTTAGAAACATCGATGAGAGAAAAACAACGATCAGCTGCCTCCTGCACACCCCCTACTGGGGATGTGCCCACAACCAAGGTACATGCCTTTGACTAGAATCAAACCCAGGACCTTTCAGTCACCAGGCCGAAGCTCTATCCACTGAGTCAAACTGGTTTCAGCTGGAGGGGTGACATTTTAAAGCCAAACAATTTTTTTGCTTGTGGTGAGATGATTCCTGAGTGAGCTTTCTCTTTCTCACTCTTTCTCGCTCTTCAGCAAGGTACTCGGGTGTCCTCAAGGAAACTAAGCAACCTCCATCATTAATATCTGCTGATATGTCTCAGAGACTGATATGCAGGGAATAACTGAATTTTGAATCCAGGGCTTTCGAGCACCTGAAGACCTTAGAGGCTGCACAGTGGGGTAGGCAAAGGCAAATACACTTCTGATAGTTAATTTCCTTTTTAGGCATCAACTTCTCACTCATCTCGCCCGTCCAGGCCTCCAATGAAACCCTTCATTCTCACTCGGGATGCAGCCCAAGCCAAGTAGGTAGTACTAAAAAGTGGGGTGCCTTTGCAAGCCCCTTGCTTTTGTGGTTCATTTGCAGTGCATGGTGCCAAACAGAATAGGCATTAAGGGTATGGCTTTGCCTTGGAGGCTATTCTTTCATCAAAGGGATGTTATGTCTTCTAATAATTTCTTTCTTTGGCCTTCAGCAGACATTTCCCTCACAAACCTGACCTTAAAAGGATCTCCAAAGGAAACCAATAAAAATAATCTGTTAATTAATTAAAAACAAGAAAGGAATCGAATAGAGAATTGTACACTTTAAAATTTTTTCCCATTGCCTTCAGCTACAGTTCTCAAAACGACATCTTTGCCTATCTGAGTTCTTGAGATGCTTTTCCATAGGGGTGGGAGAGTCTGCATACCTTTTAGACTCACCAAGTATAAGTACCCTTTTCATAGTATCATCACTACTCTGTGGGGCATTGGCCTCTGGAATTGCTTATTGGGAGATTATCTTGGGCCCGTGGTCGGCAAACTGCAGTTCAGGAGCCACATGCGGCTCTCTGGCCCTTTGAGTGTGGCTCTTCCACAAAATACCACAGCCTGGGTGAGTTAGAAGTTTAAGTTTAAAAAATGTGGCTCTCAAAAGAAATTTCAATCATTGTACTGTTGATATTTGGCTCTGTTTACTAATGAGTTTGCCGACCACTGGCCTGGGCTATTTATCATCTCATGAAAGACTTCCGTGCCCCTTCCTAGATGCCTCTTTTTACATATCCTCACAGGAGTTTGCACAACTCCTCAGAAGATGCCTGGTTAGGGGAGGGAGGATAAAACAGACATAGGTTTTGCCACTAAAGAGAAGAGGCTTTTTAAAGTGCTATTTATGTTTAGTTTTTCTAAATACAATGTGATTTTTGCAGAGTATTTGGAGCTGGTTATCCAAGTCTGGCAACTATGACAGTGAATGACTGGTATGAGCAGCATCAGAAGTTGGGAACTTTACCAGATCGGGGAATAGCCAGAACAACATCAGGTATGAAGGGCTGGGAGGAAAGTAGTTACACTATGGTTCCTTATTCCCCAGCAATGAAAATTCTGACCAAGTATTGCTGTCCTTTAGGAGCAGAAGTAATCTGGACCAAGATTCTGAGTAACATAAAGATTCTAGGCAGTATTTTATTTCATTTAATAGTAAAATAAATAGCCGAGATTTTCGCAGTATCAGGGCAGTGGAGAAGTATAGGTTTTGAACCTCTGTGAATATTATTATGGCATAAAAACAAACTGAGCAATAAGATAGTAAAACCAAAAATCCACTGATAGCAGTTCCGCTTCTGGTATTAGCAGAACAGTTTGTATTAGTCCAACACCTCCTATAGTTAACAGTTACAAACTGGAAAAGCTATAACAAAAGATCTATGTAAAGGCGCTGAAGAGTGACCAAAAGCAGGCATAGACCGGAGGTCAGTCAACACTTACAAGATAAGAGTGGTACATAGAACTTCTTGAGGGCAGGAATTTTGACTTACTGTATTTTTGGTGCCAAATTGGTAATTAGATAATAGAGATTCTTGAAGGTGTCTTTGGGAGGGAAAGGTGAAGAGTGGTCATTAGAAAGATGAAAGCAATATGGTTTTAGCAGAAAAAGCACAGACAGAGCTAAGTTAACCAATTACTCCTATACCCCTCTGAGCCTATTACTCCTGTGCCCCTCTGGGCCTCAGTTTCCTTATCTCATGTATTATCTCATTTCGTCTTAACCCATAAAGCAGACATTTTAACCACGTTTTAGTATGAGGAAATGGTGTCTGAGAACTGACATATGCAAAGTTAACATAGCTAAAAAGTGGCTAGGTTAGGATTTTAATTCAGGCCTTAATATTCCAAATTCTAGGGCTGTTTTAATTATAGCACAAAGGAAAGAAAAGTAGTCAATTTGAAAGGCTTTTCTGTGTTTTTGTTTTTTATGGCTTTTCACCCATGGGCTGGCTGCAGATGCTGTGATGAGAGTAGGTAAAACTTGGATAGAAACTTAGTCTTTTAAAAAAAATATATATTTTATTGATTTTTAAATTTTTTTTTTGCAGAAAGGAGGGGAGAGGGATAAAGTTAGAAATATCGATGGGAGAGAAAAACATCGATCAGCTGCCTCTTGCACACCGCCTACTTGGGATGTGCCCACAACCAAGGTATTATACATGCCCTTGACCAGAATCGAACCTGGGACCCTTCAGTCCACAGGCCAACGCTCTATCCACTGAGCCAAACCAGTTAGGGCAAACTTACAATCTTTTTGGTTGTGCAATGGGAGAATTGAGTTCGGGTGACTATAGGAACTGAAAGGTAAGATGAATATCCCAGAAATATAACTGAAAGGTAAGATGAATATCTAATTCTCTACTTAAACCTGCCCACATCTCTGGCTGACTCAAGCTTCACATGCATAGGATAAATTCCAAGCACCCTAGGGAGGGTCTACAATAACTGAATGGAAAAAGCAGCTACTGCCCAATGCAGAGGAAATTAATTTGGAATTTGGTTTTAAATACATTAACTTCCTGCTAAAATGAAAAATCAATACTCCTTAGTGGAATGAAACATTTATTTTCATGCAGTTTCTGAGGGTGAGGATTCCAGGAGCAACTTACCTAGTTGGTTCTTGATTAGGTTCTCCTGAGGTTGTCAGCTGGGGCTGCAGTCTTCTGAAAGCTTGACTCAGTCTGGAAGATCTGCTTCCAGCTCATTCACTCATCCATGTGACTGTTGGCAAGAAGCCCTCCCATGTGGGTCTCTCAGGTTTGCTCACAGCTTCATTTCCTCAGTGAATGATTCAAGAGGAAACAACCAAGTTTCTTTTTTAAAAGCATTTTTTTATTTGTTTTGTTGATTCTCACCTGAGGATATTATTTCCATGGCTTTTTAGAGAAAGAGGGAAAGAGGGAGGGAAGAACATCAGTTGGCTGCCTCCTGCAGCCCCCTCCTGAGGATCAAGCCCATAACTAGGGAATGTGTCCTGACCAGGAATCGAACGAACCTGCAACATTGTGGGACATGGAACAATACCCAACCAACTGAGCCAACAGTTAGCAAACTGTGGCTGGCAAGCCACATGCGGCTCTTTTGCCCCTTGAGTGTGGCTCTTCCACAAAAAAACACATGCAGGCACACACAGTGCGATTGAAACTTTGTGGCCCATGCACAGCAGTTGGTTTTCTGCACTCAGAATAAATTTCAATCGTTGTACTGTTGATATTTGGCTCTGTTGACAATGAGTTTGCCAACCACTAAACTGAGCCATACTGGCCAGGGCGAGAATCCTCATTATCTTTTAAAACCTAATGTTAGAAGTTGCAAACCATGACTTCTGCCATATTCCATTGGTCGCCAACCCCAATACAGTGTGAGTGGATTACATAAGAGCATGAATACCTGGGGTCAGTCTTTGAGGCTGTCTCATGGTATAATATTAATGACAGGTAGACAGGGAAGTTAGTGATGATTGTATTTTTTAGAGCAGTAATTTTCAACTAGTGTGCCACAAGAATTTTAAAACATGCAATACCTGACTAGTCAGGGGCACTGACCTCTTTTCCCTTAGATTGTCAAATAAAGAATGACAACAACAGCCATCCTGTGTAAATGAATCTAAGTTATACATGCCTGGTCAGTGTGGCTCAGTGGTTGAGCGTCAACCTATGAACCAGGAAGTCATGGTTTGATTACCAGTCAGGTTACATGCCCAGGTTGTGGGCTCCATCCCCAGTGCAGGAGGCAGCCAATTGATGAGTCTCTCTCATCATGGATGTTTCTATCACCTTCTCCCTTCCTCTCTAAAATCAATAAAAATATTTTTAAAAAGAAAAAAATATATATACTCATTTTTGTCAGATCAGCAAAACATAACATTCTAGTGTACCACAGAATTTTAGTAATTAGTTTATGTGTGCCACAAAAATCAAAAGGTTGAAAATTACTGCTTTAGATCAACCTTTAAATAATGCATCAAGAAAATATGAAGACAAGCTCTAGACTAGTGGAAATTATTTGCAAAAGACCCAATTGATAAAAGACTGTTAATCCAAACTGTAGAAAGAATTCTTAAACTCAACAATAAGGAAATGAACACCCAAATTTAAAACAGTGGTCAAAATACCTGAACAGGAACCTCCCCAAAGAAAATATACAGGAATAAATAAGCCCATGAAAAGTTGCTCAACATCATGTATCATTAGGGAATTGCAAAGTAAAACAACAGTGATAACACTACACCCCTATAAAGATGACTGAAATCCAAAACACTGAGAATATCAGATGTTGGTAAAGATATGGAGTAACAGGGATTCTTTTTCTTAAATATATTTTTGTTGATTTCAAAGAGGAAGGGAGAGGGAGAGAAAGAGAGATAGAAACATCAATGATGAGAGAGAATCACTGATTGGCTGTCTCCCGCACGCCCCCCACTGGGGATCAAGCCACAACAGGGATTCTTATCCAGTGTTGGTGGAAATGCAAAATGGTACAACCACTTTAGAAGACAGTTTCTCAGCTTCTTACAAAACTAACCATACTCATTTCAAATAGTCCAGTAATTATGCTCCTTGATATTTACCCAAATGAGTTGAAAACAGGTCCAGGCAAAAACCTGCACACAAAGGGTTATGGCAGTTCTACTGATAATTGCCAAAACTTGGAAAACAACCAAAATGTCCTCAGTGGGAAAATGGATAAACTGAGTGGTACATCCAGGGAGTGAAATTCATTGATTTAAAAAAAAAGCTATTCATAAAAATACATGGAAGAACCTTAAATGCACATTAACATGCGAAAGAGGCCAATCTGAAAAGGCTACATACTATATGATTCCACCTATATGATATTCTGGAAAAGGCAAAGCTACACACACACACACACACACACATATATATATATATATATATATATATATATATATATATATAGCTAATTAATATGCAAAGTGTCCCCCAGGAGTTCAGCCAGGAGACTGGGAGTTAGATTGCTCACTATAATGTGTGCTGACCACTGGGGGTGATGCAGAACGAAGGAAAGCCCCAATCAGCCCTGATCCCTGGCCAGGCCTAGGGACCCTACCCATGCATGAATTTTGTGCACCGGGCATCTAGTGGAAGCAATAAAAGGACCAGTGGTTGTCAAGGGCTAGAGGATAAGGAGATATGAAGATGTGGAGCACAGAGGAGATTTAGGGCAGTGTATCTGTATGATACTATATAGGTGGATACATGTCATACATTTGTTCAAACCCATAGAATGAACAATACCAAGAGTGAACTCTAATGTAAACTAGGGACTTTGGGTGATGATGTCAATCTAAGTTCATCTATTGTGACAAATGTATTATCACTCTGATCAGGATATTTATGGTGGGGAGGCAGGAGTATATAGGAATACTGTGTATTTTCCATTCAATTTTGCTGTAAACCTAAAATTTTTACATTTTTAAAAGGCAGCCTTTTTATTGTTTTATTCATAAGTATTTTTTATTGTTCAAACTATTACATATAGTAGTACATATATATCCTTTATATCCCCATTGACATTCCGCTAGCCTCCCCTACCCACTGTCTCATGCCCTCACCCCACCGCCACTCACCAGTGTCTTGTGTCGATTGGCTGTGCTTATATGAATGAATACAAGCCCTTCGGTTGATCTCTTTCCCCCCTTCCCCAACACTCCCAGCCTACCTGCTGTAATTTGACAGTCTGTTTGATGCTTTACTGCCTCTGTATCTATCTTTTTGTTCATCAGGTTGTAATCTTTATTTTCTATAAATGAGTGAGATCATGTGGTATTTTTCTTTCATGGACTGGCTTATTTCACTTAACATAATGCTCTCCAATCCATCCATGCTGCTGCAAATGGTAAGACTTCCTTCTTTTTTATAGCAGCATAGTATTCCATTGTGTAGATGTACCATAGTTTTCTGATCCAGTCATCTGCTGATGGGCATTTAGGCTGTTTCCAAATCTTAGCTATGGTGAATTGTGCCGCTATGA